TGTGTATCCTTCCCAAGACCATTAGAAAGAGCATGAAGATGGAACAAGGAAATTCCGAGGAAGCAGGAGGGGCGGCGGAGGGGGAGGAGGAGGAGGAGGAGGAGGAGGAGGAGAACAGCGGGAGGCAGCGGAGCGCATGAGGACAGGGGGCAAGGAAAGGAGAAGTCAAGTGATGGTTTCACGTCACCTTGAGATGGTCACGCAATTTCTGTCAACGTTCAGTTTCTCTCCTTCCGGCCGCTGAATCTTGATAACAACCTTGAGATTTGACTTAGTGTGTACCTCCTCCTCCCTCCCTCCTCTTCGTGCACTTGCCCTTGCTCTAGATCTTCCCATTCTCTGCCGTCCTGCTCCTGCTCTTGCTCTTGCTCCTGCTCCTGCTCCTGCTCCTGCTCCTGCTCCTGCTCCTGCTCCTGCTCCTGCTCCTCAACCTCTTTCCCTCGGTCCCTCAGTCCCTCGCTCCCTCTCCTGCTCGCCCTCCTCTTCTCCCACGAGCTTCTCACCTTGCTACCTCGCGGGCCCATCATCTTCTCCTTCACCTCCGCAAGGGACAGCTCAGCCGTCCTCTCCCCGTCCACTGCGAGCACGAGATCCCCCACGTGGATGGCTCCTGCTCCGAGAGAGTCAGGGGAGCTCATGGGTAGTTGGAGGGTAAGGGAGGAGAGGAGGGGAGGGGAGAGGATGCGATGAAGAAGAGGGTAAGGGCACAACACGGAGGAAGGGAGAGTAGAAAATCAGGAGGAGGAGGAGGAGGAGGAGAACGATAATGATGAAAAGATATAGGCGGAAACAATTCAGGAAGAGAAACAGCAAGAGCTGCAGAAAACGGAGATGGTAATGGTTGAGAGAAGACGAGGAGGAGGAAGGAATAGTGGAGGTACAGGGAGGAGGAGGAAGCCCAGAGGAACTGGGAAGAGAGAAGGTCTTGCCTGACAGAGTAGAGGACATTCCAGTGACAAGCTCTGTGACCTGGGAGGCGAGGAGATGAGAGGAGTAGAGGAGAGGAACGAAGGACAGCAGGCTAGGAGGAGGGCGCGAGACGAACGAGAGGGAGAGGGAGGCAGCCAAGGGAGGATGCAGATGTTTGTGACGCTGGGCAAGTACGAGAAGCAGGAAGAGCGAGGAGCAGAAGTAGGTTTGGAGATGGAAGGGAAGAGCTTAGAGGAAAGAACTTTCGGAGCTCGAGGAAAAAAGAGCAAGAACAAGGAGAAGGAGGAGGAGGAGGAGGAGGAGGAGGAGGAGGAGGAGGAGGAGGAGGAGGAGGAGGAGAGACACGAAATTACTCTGATCTGCCGGAGGAGGGTCCCTTGGTCGTCCACTGGGATAGTGACTTCATCGAGTCTCATCCCGACTCCGCAAGGATTCGGAAGTTTCATGAGCCTGAGGAGAGGAAGTGCGAGAGACGAAGGGGAGAGAGGAAGTGGAGGCAGGAGAGAACAGGGGGAGGGAAAGAAGAGGAAGGGGAGAGGATTGCAAACAAGGAAGGATTGAAGGGGGAAGAGAAAGGGAAAGGGGGAGAAAAATGGCATGAGGAGGAGCAGGAGGAGGCGGGGGGGGGAGGGGGCAGGGAAGGGAAAGGGGAGGGGGATGTGTCAAGATCAATCGTGCGAGAGAGCGAGAGAGAGGAAGAAATGCAGAGCAAAGAGGTGAAGAGGAGAATAATCAAATAGTGAGCCAGAGCAAGAGAGGGAGCAAATGTGAATCGAGAAGGAGGGAGGGAAGAGGGAGATGACGGGGAGGAGGTCCACCTCTCAAGCTCCTTGAGCAATTCATCTCTCTCGCATGTCAACGCCCAGACCTGCAGCCTGCTGTCAGTCTCCTCCCCATCGTCCTTCTCATTGTCCTCTTCATCATGATCATCATCATAATCCTCATCATCCTCATCATCATCATCCTCATCATCATCATCACCATCATCACCATCACCATCATCACCATCACCATCACCATCCTCCTCCTCCTCCTCATCATCATCATCATCATCATCATCACCTCTTGCTCGTGTTGGATGATCATCTCTCCTATCTTGGCAGCCAGCGAGCTCTCCATGAGGTTGTGCTTGTCCAAGAGCGCCTGCCCGTCCTCGTCATACACGAGCTCAACCGATTTTCTCAGTTCCTTGTTCCCTTCGACCAGCTCCTCGACCTTGCTGCGAAGTTGCTCCGAGGTGCTCTGCCAACGGAAGAGGTTGAAGGGAGGACGGAGGAGGAAGGAGGAAGGAGGAAGGAGGAAGGAGGAAGGAGAAAGGAGGAAGGAGAGAATGAAGAGAATAGAGAGAATGGAGAGCTGTGCAGAGGAGGATGAAGATATCAAGGGGCAGGGAATCAATCACCTGCGACTGACTCAATCGCGACTTGAGATCCTGAAGGTGGAGCTGTTAACAAGAGGAGCAAAACGAGAAGCAGGGGCAGGGGCAGGGGCAGGGGCAGGGGCAGGAGGAGCTCGCGTGCTCAACCTTGTTGTCTGCTTTCAGCTCGTTGACGAGACTTCGGCTCTTGACCAGCTCCGCCGACGTCTGTCGGGGAAAGACGTCAGACGCCCAGCAGCTTCCCAGCTGGAGTCCGGGAGGGAGGGAGCCGTGACCTGAGTCTTGTCGTCGTTTGCTCTCTGCAGCACCTGCGAAGGGCATGAGGAGGACGGGGGCAGAGGAGGCAGCGACCTGGTTGATCGACTTCACCTCCTGCAACTGCGCCTGACATTCGTCCAGCGCGATCTGAAGGCGGGGAAGAGGAGAGCGTTAGAGATGAAACAGAAAGGAGGGAGAGAGGGAATGAGGCAGAGGAGGAAGGGAAGAGAGGAAGGGAAGAGAGGAAGGGTAGGAGAGGAGGGAAGGAGAGGAGGGAGGGATGGTGAGAAGAATGCAGGAGCATTCAAAGTCTCCTGCTCACAACATCTCAAGACATACCGCCGTTCTCTTCGCTTCCGCCTCAATCCTGCTCCTCCTCTCCTCCTCTTTGCCTGGCCCACTGACATTCAGAACCTCCACAACCGACCTCGACTCCTCCCACCGAGCTTGTCCCCTCTGATCTCGAGCTGCGTCTTCACCTCCTTCAACTCCTCCTTCAAGGCTCTCTCCCTTGCCAGACTCTCCCGCACGCGCGTCAGGGCCTGCAGAGTCTCACCCGAGCGATCACCAGCGCATGCGCCACCTGCTCCAGCACTCTCTTGGACACGGCGACCTCCTCCTCCAGCCTTCGCTTCTCCGCTGCATGCCAAGCAACTCAGCTGATACCTCAGTCCTCGGTTTCTACCTCCCTCACCTCCCTCTCTATCTCTGTCCTCCTCTTCGCGCCCCTTCTCTTCCTTTCCCTCCCCCCCCCTTCCCTCCACTCACCTCTCAGATCGGTTTCCAGCCTCTGGTTGTCCACCAGGAGCAGCTGCAGGTCGTTCAGCTGCTTTTGCAGCTGCTCCTTCTGTTTCACCGTCTCATTCCCTCCGTCCCTCCGTCCCTACAGTCTCCTCCCCACCTGTTTGCACTCCGCTGCTTGCGATCGCTCGGCAGACAAAAGTTTCGACTTGAGGTTCGCTTGCTCTTGGTTGTGCTGAACGAGTTTGGTCGACATCTCCGAATTTTTCTTCTCCAGCTCGATCATTCCCTGCTGCAGCTCGGCAGCTTTCTTCTCGCAAACTGCATACAGGAATGAGCTTTACACGCTTATCTATCAGTTGTCCCCCTGTTGTCCCTTCCTCTCCCTGCGCCGTCTCCCCTCCATTCTTCTTTTATTCCTTCCCCCCTCCCTCCTCCCCCCCCCTTTTTCTCCCCCTTCTTCCCTCCCTTCAGTTGAGGTTTTCCTTTCCTACCTTGCAGCCTCTGCTTGAGCTCCACATTCTCCTTCATATCCGGCGTGGGCCTGCGAAATGCTCAACATCGAGCAAGCCACCATCGCCCACCTCACTGGCCGTTCCTGCGCACATGGAGGATCTCCTGCTGCAGCTCCTGGATCTTCACATCCTTTTCTTTCACTTCACAACATGTCAGGAGCCCCCGCCCCCCCTAGCGTCAGGCAGCGACCTCTGTCTATCTCCGCCAACAGGCTCTCCTGGTTCTGTCTCTCTCTCTTCTCCGCCAGCTCTCTCAGCTTCACCTGCGGCCCTTGTCCCTCAGACACGCAGCAGACGGACGGCCGCCTCCACCTCCTGCTCGCATCTGCGCTTGCACTCCAGCAACTCATTCTTCAAAACCTCGTGCTCACTTTGCGATCGGCTGAACCTGAAAGCACCAGAGTCAGGGCGAGCGGCAAGGAACAGCTGGTCTACTTCTCTCTCTCATCTCTGAAGGACGCTTCCAGAGCTTTCAGCTTGCCCTCCGTGAGGCTCCGGCTTGTCTCCTCGATGCTCAAAGATGTTCTGCTGCTCTCGTGACCCTCTCGCTCCTTCTTGAGACGATTTCGCTCCTGCTCGAGCTCCTGCTCCTTTTCCTTGAGCTTTGACTCCAAGATGATGAGGCGGCTCTCGTGGCTCAAGCTCTCAGCCTCCATCTTCTTGCTCAGCGTCTCCATCTCCTTCTTCAGACGGTCCACGTCGGCATGCGACTCCCAGTACCTGCTGGGGGTCAGCTCAGCTCAGCTCTTCTTCCACTCCCTACAGCGCCGATCCTCGCACGAGCTTCACCCCGACGATCTGACCATCAGGCTTGCGGATCTTGCAGGTCACGTCCGACCCTGCTAGCCCCCTGCCAGACGGGTCAGCTTCCTTGAGGCGACGAGACTCTCAGGTACCGCAGCGCGGCGCTGACGACGGGAACACCGATATGGCTACAGGCCATGCCCTCTACTTCAAGGATCCTGTCCCCTTCCTGGATCTTCCCACTCTCCCAAGCTCCCTGTCAGGCAGGGTGATTCACTCGCAGGACATAATCGAGCTGTACTTGTCCAGGGAGCACACGGGCGACCGCTGGGCCGCCGCCGTCATTGGAGTCAAGAAGTACCAGGCCTACGTCATGGTAGGCTTTTCCTCGCGCGCCGAAATGCTCTCTCAGCTCAGTTGGGTCAGACATGTCGGAAAGACTGATGGTGGACAGCTGGGAAAGTCTAAGTACACAAGTCACATTCCGCCACTTACTTTCATCTTTTCTCCCCTCTACATCTGTTGCGCCTAAACCTGCTGCGTCTGGCCCTGCCGTGTATACTTAGCTCAGCCTTCTGCCTACAGTGGTCTGATACTGTTGACCTCGGAGCTGTCCAAGTCACAAGTTCTGCCTTGTCTTTCCGTATCCCACCTCCCCTTCATCGCCACACTTCCTCTCCCCTACGGCATTCTCCCTCCTTCTGTCTCTCGGCCTGCAAGAAACGTACCTCTCGGTGACTCTATTAAAAAAAAATTATTTTGACTTTTTTTCCGTGAAACTTCATTTTTGTTGGCTACGAACCGCCGCCGGGCGGGCCCGGCGGCCCGGGGGAGGGCCCGCCGCCGGGCGCCCAGGCAACCGTTGAACCGCAACGACGGCGCGCAGTTAACTAGTAAGTGAAGGTATCAGTCCGGGGGGCAGGATGAGGGGCGGTCACAAGCCTTGAAGTTCTCGCTGTCTAAGTTTCTCTTCTGAGTCTCGCCGTTTGGCCTGTGCGACAGTGTAATGAAAAGACCTTCCTGTCAGGGTTAAGCCTCCGAGGCTCTCCCTTTTGTCCTCGTACTGATTTTGAACTTAACTTTGAGTAAACTGTCGTAGTATGACTACTGAGCCCCGGGGCTCAGCCTGACGGTCGGGCCGGGTCTGGCCGCCACTGATTATCATTTTAGGCTACCCGGGGACGGCGTCCGACGGTTTCGGCCGCGAACGGAAGTTCGCGAGGCCGTTACTAGTACTGAATGGCTTCCGTGGAAATGATCGCCTCCAAACCTCCGGAGGCTGCTGGCCAGTCACTACGGCGGTAGGCTAGTTCTGCCATCCTCAAGTCCGACGGAATTGATGAGTCGCTTCTATAAAAAATTCACGGACTGTGACGCTGCCGAGGTTGCAATGAAGAGCATAGTATCAACTCATTCCCGGTTACTGTAAGGCAAGCCAATGACAGTAAAACTGATTCACAGCTGAAATCTAGCATACAAAGGTTGATCATCATCAATTTTTCAAAATTTCAGCCAAGGCCGATGCTGACAAAATGAGAAAAGTTTTTTTTCGGAGAGCCAAACTGTACATTCAGCACTTGAGATCAGGGAAGATTTTTCATTCAAAAACAACCAGCTTTCTCCTCCAATAATGAATAATACTACCCTCTCCCGTCAAGAACTATTCTAAATGGGTTCCAGAAATTCGAAACTGACTATCGCAAGAACGAGTTCAACACAAATCAAGTCTGAGTGTCACCTTACTACAGTCAGGTCGAAGGGTCTTTCGAGACCAATTTCAAAGCACGTTTCGAATTCTCACAGGGCACACGCATGCAAAGTAAAACGTGAAAGGCCCATCGCATGTTATCTAGGCAGCACTCAAGTTTTCCTGATCTGATGGTCAATTACAACATTTGGGGGGAGAATGAGGTCAGTGCTAGCTCGAGTGTGACTCCTCGTCCAGACCCATCGCTCAGAGTCATTCCTGCAGGTCAAAATGTGAACCTCTCCCTAACAAACTTGATCTGGCAGCAAAACATTCATCGCGTTCTTGTTATCTTGGCATTCGACGCAGTGCTCACGATCTTCCTTGCAGGTATTCTGCCACTTCTGCTCCTGCTCCTGCTCCTGCTCCTGCTCCTGCTCCTGCTCCTGCTCCTGCTCCTGCTCCTGCTCCTGCTCCTGCTCCTGCTCCTGCTCCTGCTCCTGCTCCTGCTCCTGCTCCACCTTCCCTTTCCAATCCTTTACAGTTGGCATTTCCCGATGACGACACTCCCGCCATTTTTTAAAAATTATGCACACCCTACCATCCCAATTACTGAATTCACCCCTTCTTTTCTCCTGTGAAGGTACCCCTCCACTGCCCCTGCACTCTTCACCGCCACCCTCTCTGCCATAACCCTACCCCAATATCCATTACTACCCCACCATTTAACTCAAATTTCATTGTTGAACTCACACCGGTTATAATTAAAAGAAATTACCCTCCATTTCCTATCAAGCATGGGCTCGACAAAGAACCCCTGCTTATGCCACCCCATCATTTGTGCTACCCACCCCCTCGTTGACTCCTTCTCCTCCCGCCTTTCCATGCCCCTCAATATTCACGAGCGCGGCATGCTGCTGCTGCTGCTGCTGCTGCTGCTGCTGCTGCTGCTGGTGGTCGATGTGCCATGTCATCTCCTTCTGTCCTCCTTATGATACCCCATGAAGCTCATCGCCTCTTTTCCTTTGCTCTTTCCTTTGCTTGCCCTCCTCTATAACCCCTTCTCCCTTCGGTGTGAAGCGAGTTTTGACAAGATTCATGCTTGCCTTCACGGTCCTTCAGAGTGCACTTCCGCTTGCATAATCTCTTGATATAGATAAACATAATGAGTATCAAGTCAGGAAGAGGTGAAGATTTCTTAGGCAACTTTGAGGGTTATTTTCACTTTCAACCGGTGGCATTCTTAACATGAACGGGGAGGCTGCAGTGGTATGACCATTGTTCTGAATCTTCCTGGCAGTGATTAGCAATGTCGACTCCCGTCATGGTGATGAGTAAGTGTGCATGAAGCTGAGCTGCGTTGGTTAACACGTCGTTGCAGACGAAGGAACGAAGAGGGAGACCGGGAGGAATGCGCAGACAGCGAACATAGCAGCGGCGAAGGCAGGGATGCATGGGCACAGTGACATGTGATGTGACGTACTAACAGGCTGTGGCGGATATCATACGCACCACCCTGGGGCCGAAGTCCATGTTGAAGATGTTGTTGGATCCCATGGGAGGAATCGGTTTGTGCTCGGAGCTCGTGGTGCGACTGGAGATGACGGTCTGTGTAGTGATGACGAACGACGGACATGCCATTCTCCGAGAGATCGACGTGAAACATCCCGCAGCTAAGAGCATGATTGAGCTCAGCAGAGCGCAAGACGAGGAGGTGGATCGGATGAAAGCTGTTAATGTTTTCACTCAAAGGCCCCCTTGCTAGGTTGGAGATGGGACTACTTCCGTCATCATCCTTGCAGGAGAGATGCTTCATGTTGCCGAGCCTCTCTTGGAGAGGAAGATTCATCCCAGCGTCATCACACAGGCAAGAAGCTCTCGAGCCTGTCCAACCTCGCAAGTCTAACCGGAACTCCCTCAGTCTTACTTCATGGCCCTCAATGCCGCATTGGCTCATGCAGAGAAGATGTCGTTTCCAGTCGATCTGAACGACAGGGAGGTGCTGACGAAGATCGTGTCAACGTATCAAACTCTCACTGCTGTACGCGACGCTGCCTCTGACTTTCCTTCCCCAAGGTGCGTGGGGACCAAGTACACCAACAGGTTCGGCCGCCTCATGATCGACCTGGCCATGGATGCCATCACGACGGTCATGGTCGACTCCGATGGAAGGAAGGAGATCGATGTGAAGCGATACGCCAAGATCGAGAAGATTCCTGGGGGTGACATCGAGGATAGCAGAGTGAGCACCCGCACGTAACCGACGCCCAGAGCTGATTGAGGTCCAGGTTCTGAGCGGCGTTATGATCAACAAGGATATCATCCATCCTAAGATGAAGAGGAAGATCCGTAACCCGCGCGTCGTCCTTCTTGACTGCCCGCTCGAGTACTCCCTCGCCGCATCGAGTTGGGCCTCCTTGTAACCTTGGGGCAGATACAAGAAGGGAGAGAGTCAGACCAACATCGAGGTCACCCAGGAAGGCGACTGGGAAGCCATCTTGAAGGCCGAAGAAGACTGGATCAAGGCGACCGTGGACGATGTGAGTTCATGATAGTCAAGTCTCTGGGGTGCTGACGGGTCTGCAGATTCTTGCAGTAAAGCCTGACGTAGTCATCACCGAGAAGGGAATCTCGGATCTTGCTCAGCACTACCTCGTGAAGGTGGAGAAGAGCCAGGGCGATACCAGAGCCTGCTGACGTCTGTTGGTAGGCTGGAGTGACGGCCCTGAGGAGGATGAGGAAGACAGACAACAATCGCATCGCCAAAGTGACAGGAGCGACCATCCTCAACAGGCCGAGCGAACTGCAAGAGAGCCACGTGGGAACTCAGTGTGGTGTCTTCCAAGTCGAGAAGATCGGCGATGAATACTTCTCCTTCTTCGTCGACTGTGAGAAGCCGAAGGCCTGCACCATCCTCCTTCGAGGCCCGAGCAAGGATGTCCTCAACGAAGTGCGCACATCTCCTTCCTCCCGCCTTTCTCTCCCTGGACTCCTCCTTCTCACTCCTTCTCCTCCTCTTCCCCTCCTCCATCCTACTTGATCTTCTTCCTGTCAACACTTTCAAGCTGCTATCCATCGTTTCACTTCTTCCTCGCCCCCATTCCGTTCTCGTTTTCCTCTCGCTCCCTATCCCTGCCTGCCCATTCTATGTTCATGGCTCTCTAACTCTCTCTGTCAGATTGAGAGAAACCTTCATGATTGCCTCGGGGTCGCTCGTAACGTCGCCTTGGAACCCAAGCTCCTACCAGGTGATCCCCATGTGGCTTCTGCTTGTCCGACTGATCCTCCGGTCCCCGCAGGAGGAGGCGCTGTGGAGATGTCGATCGCTGCTCACCTGCGCAGAGACGCTGCAGCGATCCAGGCGAGGCTGGTCAGGGTGAGAGGATGACGGGCGTGACGCTTTCGGCAGGGGATCCAGAAGTGGCCCTTCGAGGTCGTGGCGGATGCTCTTGAGGTCATTCCCAGGACTCTTGCCCAGAACTGCGGAGCAGACGTTGTGCGGCGCATGACTGAGCTGCGTGCAAAGCACAGCAGCCAGGATGAGTACAGCACCTGGGGGATCAATGGCGAGACAGGACAGGTGGGAGCGAGGTGAAGGCCGGCAGCGTCTGACCTTGTTGCTCGCTGCAGCTGGCAGACATGAAGGAGCTGGGTATCTGGGAGCCATTTGTCGTCAAGAGCCAGGGACTTAAGACCGCCGTAGAGTCATCATGCATGCTCCTGAGGTGCTGCGCTCGCCTGCTGCCCTTCCTGTTCGTTTTTCGCTTTCCTTCCTGTGTCGCATCTTGCCAGCCCTTCGCAGCTTGACGCTTGTGCTCGCAGGATTGACGATGTCGTGGCTGGCGCGAAGAAGGCTTCGGGCAAGAACCGATCGGGTGGAGGAAGAGGAGGAGAAGGAGGCGGGGACGAAGGGGAAGATGGACCACAGGGACCGGATGAGGATGACAGGATGGGCTAAACGGAGATGAAGGAGGCGCACAGGCTACCGCCGCCTTCATTGAGTGATGTTGACGACCCGACTGTTCGGATCGGATGGGCCCAGACTGGCAGGTCAGGGAGGCCCTGGCACTTGCTCAAGTTCGGGTACACTGTCGGTCACAGTGAGGTGCTTGACAGTGAAGGTTGCCACCGGACTTGCGACTCTGATGTAATGAAAGTTAGCCGTAAGAATAGTGTGACTCCGCTTGGCAAGTTGGGACGCCCATTCTGATTGCTGCCGCGACTGTGCAGTATCACAGCCTGAGGTTCGAAGACTCGGCCTGCCGCCGCCGTAGCCTACTCGGAGTACTAGCGGCCCCGGCGCCGGCAAACGGTACCGTGTGCTCGTTTACTCAAAGTTAAGTGCTCCCGGCGCTGAGGCTCAGTCAGACCGTCTCTCACGGTCCCGGCCGGCGATCCGACGGGCCGCCGGGGCCCCGGGGCCTCGGACGGCCGACTTTTTGACTTCGGAGTATTTGCAGGCGCAAAATTAAGTAAAACATCTCACCGTGACTGCCGGAGAGCCGACGGTCCGGCGAGGCTCTCCGAAGGAGTCCCAGGCACGCCTGTTCACAACAAAAAAACCTTGGTCATGAATATTTGTTCTAAAATTTGAAATGTTGAGTATTCTTTCGAATATCCATTGAAATAATTTTTCAAACCATTTTTGTTTGTTTAGAGGGGATTTCTCAACCCACCCCTCTGGCCGAAGTAATCCTGCCACCACTACCCCCTGAATTCCCATACTTTACCACTAGATTTGGTACCACATGCTGTCCTGGACCCACCCACAAGACATATGATGTTCTGCCTCTTACAACGTGACGTCGCATGACTTTGAGATAGTCACGTTACCGAGAAGGCTCTCCAAAGGCTAGTCACGTTACTGACTGCGTTCCTGTACCCCCTTCTTTCCCACAGTGAGATAGGTAGGGTCAGCAAGTGCCAGATCAGGATGCATTTATTCCCCAGTACCTACCCCTACATAATAGCATCAAGTACCCTAGCTAAAGGAACATATCAAAACTACCCGTTCTCGGAATATATAACCCTATTCTACCCACCATTTTCCATGCAAAATCATATGTTTGTACCTAGGGGGTAGTAACCCCCACCTACTCCATATCCGCAGATAGTGCACGCGTATCTCAAAATACTATCCTACCCCCCTTTTTACCTTTGACCACCCCAACGTCTGAGCTGCCCCTGATGAATCGCTGCCAGACACATCTACAACCCACCTCTTGTGCCAGCAGCGTCTCCTGTCCCCTTGATCGCTTCCCTTTCTTGTGTCTCTCCTGTCGATTCTCCTCATCGTTCCCACCTTAGCCCCTCGTTCTGCATCAACACCAGTGACAGCTCATTTTCCTTGCTCTCTTCGAGCCCTTTGGTACCACTTGAGCTTGCTTGGTTTCTTCCCATTGGAGGAGTCGCTGATCGAGTGCATGAATTAATTGGAGATGCCGACCAGATTGTTGAGCAAGCTTGAATCTTTGTTCTCCGAAGAAAGCAATTTCAGCAGAAGGGTCGCAAATGAGAGCAGACTGAAACTCTCTCCCGCAAGCAAAGGATGTCACTTCGGAACAGTTGTCCTGGAAGCATGCGAACCATTTTTCGTACTCAGTCAAGATGGACACGCGGCATCTATTCTTGGTAGATGTTCCTCTGACATGATGGGGAAAATGTTGAAGTCACTTGAACTGGAGGCTGGTCTTGATACCAATCTCCCTGCCGCGGCATGGGAATGTTTGAGGGCAAAGCGTATGACCTATCGAATAGCTAAGCGTAAACACGATCATAGCGGCCTTCTGATGGTTTTCATGTTTGATGATTCGGGCAAACGACCATGTGTAAGAATGTTCATGCAGCGCCTCGATGGTGTTCGAGATTACGACGCAATCTCTCAAAGATTGCATAACATTTGCTTAGAAATCAGCAAGTAGACCTGGTTGTTGAGATGGACGATGATTTTGTATTATTTTCTTCAGTCTCTGCAGAACATGTAAATAAATGTGAAGTTTACTTTGATGAAGCGCATGGTTTGAGAGCTTGGTGCTGGACTCAAAGAAAGATTTAAGGTGAACATTTCAAGTGAGCAAGATTCTACCAGTTGGTATCATGCAAATGTTTATATTCGACTGGTTGCAAACAATCAATTTCACATATCTTAACGATCTAAAATACATGACAACTAACCACACTAAATAGACAGCTTCAGCTCGGATTCTCAGAATTCTCGGGGCAGAAATCCGTGAGCTTGCCCTTCTTGCTTGTCATCTCTTGGGACAAATTGAAGATCGATTCGAGGTTTCCACGCAAACTAGCCATCTCGTCCTCAGATACTTCGAGATCCTTGTCGGCAGCACTGTCCATGTTTGAAGAAATGCTCTGGAGACGAAAGAATTCGGCACTTTGGACCAGACTAACCTCAGGCAGCCGCTGAGGCTCTGAGTACTCCAGGTTTGTCGGATAGATCAGGACCTCAATCCTTTCGTTGCCAGTTGTGCAAATGAATTTCTCAAGCGCCAGAATCAAGATTTGAGCTTTCTTTGGAACGCGCATGGTCACAAGAGTCGATCTGCCCGTCCTTGCTGCATGTAGCATAGCTCTGCACAACTTGAGTTTTTTGTCGCAGCCCCAATCGATCGAGCGGAGCATTCTGCCAGTAATCGCAGAAGAGCTCTTATTGAGCAGTGCCGCTGCTGGGCCGTCACTGGAGATGACGAAGTATGGTTCCTTGGGCTCAACCACCAGCCTACCCTTCTTTTGTACGAAACTGACAGGAAGCTGACTAACAACCTCCCTGAGACGTTCCTGAATAGTGTCTTCAAGCTCGAAATCGTCCACAGAGCATAGGAAACGGGAGATGCTGCATGTGAGAGGTGATGGAGTAGAAAGGATGCTGTTGTCCGAGTCTCCTGGTCCAATCGGCGAGGTCAGGGATGTAGGAGTGTTCTGCGCAGCCATATTCCCTCCATAAGACCTTTTCAAATTTCGACGCGGCTCATCACCAACCGGGCTACTGCACGTTAGAGATGACTCGGTGGGAACGGTGTATGCCTTTTCCTGTGGACCCGCCACTGCTGCTGCTGCATCCAACTCGCCATCCTTGGTTTCATTTGCGTTATTCTCCAAAATTTCGCCTATCACAAACTTCTTCGACGCGTAAGCAGCTACGAGGGATGGATCCATGTCCGTTGCTGTCATAGAATACTTGAGGGTATTTCTGATACGTGAGAAAGGGTTACAATCTCAGTATCCGATGAAATTGCTCTAGTATCACTGGTTTCCTGTGCTCTTTTATGAGCGTGTATCCTTGCTTGTCTCTACCGCTTTGCCTCTGTTGAGCGCTACCTGACCGTCCGTAATTCTCTTGCCGATTTGCTGGCAGCTGAATGGGTTTGCTTCTCTCTAAACGCCAGCCTCTGCAATTGCCAGCCTTTGAACCACTCTTCCGACTGTCTTCTGATGGTCTCGACGCTTCTAGAGTCAGCTGTCTGGGTTGAGTACCCCTACCCCTATCATTCCAGAATTTTACATCATGTTTTCTGGGCTGGGTACCATACCTGTCGCCATAGCTGCAAAAATGCAGGATCTGACATGTCAGCATTTTGACGAAAAGGAGTTGTTTCTGATCTCAGAAATTTCGAGAAGGTCAGAGGCATCCAAGACCTTGTGATTGGGATGTCTTACAAGGAATTGTAGCAGGTTGGGGGTGGGTGATAGATATAAGACTTGGGGGTGGTATTGACTCCCCATAATTTTGTGGGGGTGGATGTCTTTAAAACGTTTTACCTGTCCGACCCCCCACGCTGACATTTATTAGTAGCAGGGTAACTTTGAGTAAAAGCAGGGATGTGGTACTCTTTTCAGTTTTTACTACGGATTGTGATATGACTGGTACCATGAAGGGGCCGGGTGCCACTGTGACTGATCGGACGGTCACGGCGTGGCGTCAGCGACAGCGCCCGGCCGGGCGCCGCCGCGCCCCGGCCGGGCCCCTGAAATTACACTCAGTAACTGTGACTGAGACGGAATACAAGTTTGTTAGACTTGTACTAGTCCAAAGTCACGCAGATGTGATGGCACATCGACCTTAGTTGTAACAAGACAGTTTTTGCTCAAGACCGAGTTTAATGCACACAAAAACAGAATTGAGGAGCACATGAGAGATAGACTGTATGCTAGGATGTGAAACCCAAGCATCCAGACATGAGAGGACCTTAGCAAGACGGCTAGGAAAGTCCCCTCTTCATTCCATGTACTACATGCCGCCTCGCCACGTAAGTCGTCTTGGTTTACAGGAGAGTTTTTGTTAACTCGGCGCTATCTGACTGGCACGGCTGGCATACGTTCCGAGCCATCCTCCCCCCGAGTTTCTGAAATAGTACGTTACATCGGACGTCAGAAAGTCACACAAACAAGAATGTCAGCAGATCCAAGTCAAGATACGATGATACAACGTCAAGTTCACAGTCAAGCTGAGCGGGCAATAACCATTCAAGGATTGTCCATTCTGAAGAAGATTTTCATGCAGGGCTATTAGATGTGCAGTGCAGAGATAAGGGAGATGCCTGGCGAGCTGATGCAATGACGAGAGAAGGAGGATAAGATAAGAGAGTCTGAGGAGAGAACTTCGGAGTTCAGATAACAGAGAGAGAGCCTGAGAGAGAGAGAGAGAGCGTGCACGCCGGCATTTGAAGACCAAAAGATAAATTTTGAACCGTAAAGAACTTGTCGGACCAGAGATTGCTGCCGCGAGATGGAACATCCGTTTCAAGGTATTCGAAGATTGTTGTTGTGCAGTTGTACCTTGTTCGCCGATCCAGAAGTAGCTCCAGTTATGCATGCCACAGCCTAGCTCCATGACATGAAAACTTCCGCCAGATCTCCTGGTAGTTCCATTTGATCCTACTCAAAGATCAAGAAAAATAAGAATCGAATCAGCTTCAAGTGCGTTTCCACACGGTTAAGCAGATATTCGACCGACCAATCTGGCTGGGGAAAGGCTTGTTTTTCCTATTCGAAGATCAATCAAACAAATTGAGGCTGAGATGAGAGGCCGCCTAAACAACTTGCGGCTAGAAAGAGAGCCTGATTGAAGAGAGGAGTCATCCGAATTTGTAAGGCTTGAATTGCATGAATTTTCGACAGTAACGAAACGATACCAAGAAAGAAAAAACTCCAGTAAACAATTCAACTAACCAAATATAAGATCAACATGATTGAGCATGTAATCGAGGCTCATAACCGACGGAATACAAGTTTGTTAGACTTGTACTAGTCCAAAGTCACGCAGATGTCACATCGACCTTAGTTGTAACAAGACAGTTTTTGCTCAAGACCGAGTTTAATGCACACAAAAACAGAATTGAGGAGCACATGAGAGATAGACTGTATGCTAGGATGTGAAACCCAAGCATCCAGACATGAGAGGACCTTAGCAAGACGGCTAGGAAAGTCCCCTCTTCATTCCATGTACTACATGCCGCCTCGCCACGTAAGTCGTCTTGGTTTACAGGAGAGTTTTTGTTAACTCGGCGCTATCTGACTGGCACGGCTGGCATACGTTCCATCGGACTGTGATCGGATCGTGCCAGGTGACTCCGGCGGACGGGCCGGGCCGACCCGGTGAGACTCTCAGAAGTCGGAGAAGAGCCAGATAGCCTGCCTCAGTCCTGTCCGGCCCCCGGCGTCGGCCAGTGACTCAGTGACTCGTGACGGCAGTGCTCTCGGCCTCGCGGCCGCGCCCGGGCCGGCGGCCGCCGGCAGGCGGCCCGGGGGCTGCAGCCCGGGCCCAGGCCGCTGAGACTCAGTGATGGGTCGCCGGGGACGGGGCCTCGCCGCCCACTGTAGTATCGGTGATCAAGTTGGGAAACTTGACCCGGCTCAGCCTCCAGGCTCGGAGTTTCCCGTGGCAACTTTCATGTTGAAACCAGGCTCAGACAGGCTCTGTGTGCGGCCGGGTCGGGCCACATAACTTTGAGTAAAGAAGCCAGTGACGGACGAACTTCCAAGTTCCGAAGTTGGCACTGCTTCAATGTAGTAATAACTCGTACTGATCTTTAACTTAGCTTTGACTCGAATAACTAGTAGTCAGCCTGTGTGAGCGAGGCTGGCAGTGGGGCCCGGCGGCGGCCGGCCGGGCGTACCACGGTAGTACGGTAGCGGGCTACCGTACCGGGTCCGCCCGGGCCGACCTGCCACTCAAAGGGCCCCGGGGGTGCCCCAGCGTCCGTTAAAATGCAGCCTTAGACCGCCAGCATCATCGTCCTCAGTTGCGGCAGTGCAGACTCAGACCAAGAAGCGTTGCAGTCGCTGAGGGGCTGAAGGGGCCGCCGAGCCTGGGAGACGAACCACTGATGACAAACTCGAGGCCTCTAGTTGCTCCTCGGCCATTCAGCGTCGAACTACCTGAAGTAGAAGATCGCCATCATGTCGACCGACCGCGCAGTGTTCCCCCACACCTCAGCTCGAGTTGTGGCATGGATGTGAGCCTGAAACTTGCTGGGCCTGATATTGAAGGTGTATTTGACCAAAGCTGACAGGACTCTACATCCCAAGCTAGGTCATCAACGCCTGCTCCTGGCTTGTCCAGAACACGGCTGCGAAGACAAAACCCGAGATCAAGCTCTTCGAGCAACTTCTACATACCGGAAGGCTCTGACGCTCCTGTGAAGTCGGGGGACGAGATAAGGAAGATGATCGATCCTAATTTCAAGATCAAGCATCAGAAGGAGGTGAGGGCTCGATAGGTAAACAAGATCCACGGTGACTCGCAACATTGGTCAGGTGCTTGAAAGGACCAACTTCTACTTGGATCAGACCTTCGAAAAGACCATCGAGTCCTACAAGACCGAGTACTTTGAGCTTGACCTCTCCAGTCGCCCTCTCGAGTCGATTCCTCTGAAATGCGCGAGGATCACCTTCCAAGTGCTCATGGGATCATGCGAGGTCTTTCTGTCCATGAGCGATCATGCCGAGTACCCGTCACGAGAGCAGCACGACTGGGCGCTGCCCCCTGTAGATCTCTACGACGGCTCCGGAAGGATGGATGAAGTCATAACGCTGATCATAACGCCAGTAGATAAGGCATACGCGAGTTCTAAGGCGAGGAGAATCATCTTCGGGGTTAGGAGCCCCACGGGCCACGTCCACTTCAAAGTGAAGCCGCAGCTCAAGTCTTTCTTGACGGGAAATGCGTCGCAGATGCTGGAGGACAGGTCGACGAGGTGAGCGAAACTTTGATGATGAAACCTGGTTGACAGCGCATGCAGGAAAAAGATTGAGAGAGACTCCAAGATGAAGGAGACAAGAGAGATCAAACAAAGCGTGTTGCACTCCGAGCTTCGAACGAAGCTTGCACGGTCTGGAAAAGAGACGCAGATCCCTGAGTTCCGTCCCAAGACCTTGGAGCATCAGCCGTCGAGGATCAAGTCACCAATAGCGAGCTTGGCAAGAAATCTCTCGGCGACCATCGCGCCATCAAAACCCAACACTGAGAGCTTGTGGAATATCCTCGAGAGCCTGGAGAAAGACTACACGGCCGAGCCCGCGGTCGAGCAGGTCGATGCTGCTCTGCAACGGCTGCAGTCCGGCAGCGTGTACCAGGGGAGCGCAACACAGCGGTCGACGGCCCTGGTCACCGGGAGGGAGGGATGGACCTCCAGGACGGCGAGAAGCTCGACGAGGAAGAAGCGACTGATCGCCAAGTGAGCTCTGGTGACCCCGAGCATGCAGCGATGTCTCACTCCTTGCGGCAGGCAGGCTCAGGTGCCGATCGATCCGGACGTGGTCGAGCTGGACAAAGGGAACTGGGAGAAGATCGTTCTGTCCGCCAAGATCCCAGCGGCGATGAGGCTGCAGTGGGCGGTGGAGGAGATCGAGAGCGCAAAGAACAACTCGCAGGGGCTGACGGGGGCGAGGAGATACCTGCGCAACCACCCTCTGGAATCGAGGAAGCAAGCTGCCCTGCAGCCTATCAGCACCCGGATGGTCCCAATGTCAGCTCGCAGCATCAACTTTGGGAACCTGGTCACGGATGAAGTCAGGACCGCAAGAAGCCACTACTCGGGGGAGTACCACGACTCGCAAGTCGCCGTTCCCTCCCACCAACAGCATGTCGCCGACTCCCTAGAAGAAGAGTTCGCAACTGAAGCTTCTCGTCCCCTTGACCAGCGGCCGTTGGATTACCCGGACATTCCTCCGCTGGACTTCAAGAAGCTGTTTGAACGAGCGACCGGAAAGGTCTCGCAGCAGTTTGTGCCTGAGACCCCCGAGGCCCCCCAGCTGAGCGAGCGACGAGGCGACACGAGCGCAAGGAACGAGCCGCAGAAGGGAGGGCTGTCGTCAAGGGGGGAAGGGTCCTCCAGCGCGCGGGGGAAGGTGGAGGGGTCGTCGAGCGCGAGGGGGAAGGTGGAGGGGACTTCAAGTGCAAGGGGGAAGTTGGAGGGGCCCCTGAGCTCGAGGGAGAGCTTGTCTGCAAGGTCTTCCTCAAGCGTGGAGAGCGAGTCTGGTCTTCAGAAAGCTCTGCTGGCTGACGACGAGAAACTCTGTCTCTCCCTCTTCTCCAAGTACCGGGCAAACCACATGACCAGGTTCTCCAAGACCAAGGAGTTCCTGGACAGGCTGGGGCCCGAGGAGCCGCAGGCTGAGGTCGGGATGAGCCTTACGGACTTGATCAAACTGCTGCTGGAGATGAAGATCATCACGACGGGGAAGTCAGGAGCCTTCAACCGGAGGGACGTGGTGACCATGGGCAGAGAGTGCTTCAACATGCGGGGAGAGCAGCATCACCCGACCGAGGACGAGATCATCCTGTCCTACGACGAGTTCAAGTCCATCCTCGACAGGATCTCCAAGGCTCTGGGGAAGCCTTACTACGCGGACAGAGCTCGGCCTGCGGGGATAGACAAGAAGCTGTGGGATCGAATCATGGAAGACACCAAGCCCGAGATCAGGCTGAGACGAATTGCCCAGGACCAGAACTTCAGGAAGAAGATCCTCCGAGCCTTTGGCGTCCACGACCGGGACAGCGACGGGGTCCTGCTGTGGGAAGAGTTTCACGAGCTGTGCAGGAAGGAGCTGGGGGTGAAGAAGGCACACAGCCTCAAGATGCTCGAGACGGGGCAGGTCAACCTCGAGGGCCCGGGCCTGACAGTCGAGACGTTCATGTCTCTCTTCCTGAGCCCTGACCCCGACCCGGTGGACGCGAGAGAGACGGAGGAGAGCTTCAAGAACGCCATCGTCCACGAGTACAGGAGGCTGCATGCCGAGATGTGTGCTGGGTCAGAGGACGTGGGCGTGACAGGGTCCAAGTACAAGGCCATCGAGCACCTTCAGAGCAAGGCGAAGAAATTCTCGACGAGCAAGGAGGAGGTGAAGGCTGGATGGCTCTACCGGCGAGGTGCTTCCCTCTCCCTCTCCCTCTTGCTCCCTCTCTCTCCCTCTCTCTCCCTCTCTTCCTCCTCCCTCCCTCCCTCCCTCCCTCGGCTCAACCCTGACACCCTCACTCAGAGACCTTCGGGCCCATCAAGAAGTGGATGATGTACTATGCCGTGCTGGAGAAGCGCATCGGAGGGTCCGTGCTGAGGCTGTTCAACAGCACGCTGCCGGAGGAGGAGCTGGAGAACGACGTGGCGTATGACGAGGCAGGGCAGATAGACGCGCTGTGGATCGACGGAGCAGACCCAGCAGAGATCGTGCACCTTGCCGACTCGTCGGAAGTTCGGCAGGAGGCGGCGAAGCACGCGGCTCCTCAGCTGGAGCGAATGCAGGAGAGACTGGTGTCGCTAAGGAGCAGGAAGGCGCGAGAGATTGCGGCAGCCAGGGTCTCTCTAGTACCAGAGACGGGCAGGAGCGAGGGATCGGAAGACAGCGAGAACTGGACTTACTGCATCATCAAAATCCGTTGCTCCTCCAGCAAGCTGAACCCGGGCAAGCATGACGTCCTCCTCAAGGTTCGCAGCGAGTGTGCGGAGGATGAGGCGGAAGACTGGGTGGAGGCCATTCGCTCTTCCGTCCCTGACCTTCAGCTTGCCATGGGCGAAAACCTGAGGACCATCCAGGAGATCGCACGTTCCACACCCCAGCTGCGAGACGTGTGCGTTCCTCTCGACCACGAGGAGGAGATTCTTGCGAGCAATGTGGCCAACGTCATCGCAGAGGCTCTGAAGCCCTCGTGCATCATCATGCCCGTGCTGGACAGTCAGGGGAACCTGACGCTGGCAGCAGGAGGCAGAGATGACAAGGAGGATCAGGACAGCAAGAAGAAGAAGCAGGCCGGGACGCTCGAAGCCATCATAGAGGAGACGGAGGAAGATCTCCTTGCCTTCTTGACGCCGGTCGCCGAGCTCATCGAGTGAGTTCGACCGTTGACCGTTAACGAGGAAGCTGCTTCCTCCTCGGAGAGAAGTACCAACTGCGATGCTGAAGTTCTTGGGTGACCTGTTCGTCCGCTGAGCTCTTCTCTCTACTCCTCCCTCCTCTCTCCTCCTCCTCTTCTCTCCTCTCTCCTCCTCCTCTCTCCTCCTCCTTCCCCTTATTTCCTCCCCCCCTGCTCACCTGGATGGAGACATTGGTTTTCTCCCCCCATTGATCGACGACCTTCTGTATGATATGAACCAGGGAACCATCTGTCTTTTGCTGAGAGGAACGTATTTCTGTAGAGTATATAAAGTAACCTGGTGCGGTCACTGTGTAGTAACTGCCACCTGCCACCAGACCTGGCAAGCTAGTCAGCTTGTCATGTCTCGTTCCTCTCGAGCCCACCAGCATCGCTCACTGAGTCATCCAAACAATCAAGAAGCTGATCTAAGTGCGCTTGCTCTCCGAGGGAAGGAGGGCAGACGTAAACGAAGTCCAAGGATCCGGAGGCGATACACTTTGCCGCCTCCTCCTGACAAGGGCTGCACAACAACTGCCTGTCGCTCCAATCCAAGACCTCCACGTGCCCTCCATAGGGCGTGTACGCTGCCATCTCCTCTTTGATGTAGCTGCATGATATTCCGAGCACCATCCCCCGTCCTGACAAGCTTCGTTCGCTCAGCAGGTCCCCCATGGCCTGACTGTCGCACAAACTTCAGCGAGGAGTCAAGGACGAGACATCGGCCGACCGCGTGTCCAGCACGACTCCTCCCCAGTCCATGCTCGAAGGTACAGCCAGCTCAACAAGTAGCTGGGGGGCGGGTGAGCTGTGAGGACTAGAACCCATCCTCACCTCCCCGCCCGCTGACGCGAAGACAGGCAAGCCGTCCCATCCAATCAGCTCCACCTGAACTTCTAGCCTTCCTATCGGAAGGTCTGCAACATGATCATGACGCTGGAGGGGCAGTGGCGGCAACAAGTGCCTTGGAGGAGGAGCAGCGTCTTGTTGGAACACGATCGTCCGTTGTCTGTATCCCAGTCAGCGGGAGGCCCGGAAGCTCTGAAGCATCTGCCCACCCCAGGTGATGCAGACCTGACCGTCCTGTCCGAGGTCGAAGCTCGACACTGAGAGGGATGTCAACTTGTCGTTTCTCCCTCCCACGTAGTCTGACCGTCAGTGAGCACGAAAGCATGCTCGGGGTTGACGACCGAGCCAGCGGCAGGGAAGATAAGGCGAGCTTCGGGCCGACGATGACTCAGGTCGAGGAACATGCGGCAAGGCATCTCCGTTTGAAGGTGGTTGTCGGAGACAGAGACGACCTGCGCAGCAACATCAGCTGCTTGCTTTCAACCTACTCAACCTGGCATATAGCCCTCTCCTCTTCGTCACCCTCCATCCCCTGCCTCCTCCACGCAGGTATGCTTCATCTCCTCACGTTGCAGAGATCTGCGTGGCGAGCACAGGTGAGGGTGAACACGCTCTCCTCTGTTCCCATGTAGCCATCCTTCAAGGTCATGTTCAAGACCTGCAACCGCCCCATCAGATTTGCACGATGCCATGGCTGCTCCTTTCCTCGTCCATCTTCCTCGATACCACACGGATGGATTCTCCCGTCCCACCGAAAATATTTCCTCGCAGCAACTGCGATGCGATCAGGATGCAAGTCCTCCCATCATGGAGTGGCGGATTGACTTCCAACTCACCACGTTGGCAGCTTTCCCTGAGTATTTCATGTGAGCGTCTTGCGGGAACCCGTGGACATCAAGTCCTTCGTCGTAGCTGGTCAACCAGAATCATCACAGAAGCACCAAGTTGAGGCTCCTTCACCTGAGATCCATGGAGTAGATCAAGAAGCGACGGGACTGGAGGTGTAGAGCCTGCAGGTTCAACGGTGGCTGCACGAATCGCACACCTTGACCAGTCGTCACGTCAACTCCTGTCTCCCTCTTCCTCCCCTCACATAGTCCCGCATCCATCCAGAAGAACTGAGAGGATCCGAAGGGGTTCTCCTCCACCACTTCCTCCAGCCAGAAGATCTTTGACATCACCTGCACGCGTCCTCACCTCTCCGACGCACCTCGTGCTTCAACTCTCACCAGGGCGTTGTACAACTCCATCTTGGCAGGGTTGTATCTGGAGCAGCAGCACTTAGCAGCTTCTTACGCCAGATCACAACAAGATACATCTTGTTGAACCCTTGCCATCTCTGGCTCACACGGAGAGTCTCAACATCATCGAAGTGCTTGAAGGCTGCTGGAGCTATCACGAAAGGAATTCAACATGCTGAAGTCCACCTGTAAGATCTGAGAGCTCTTTGCGTCGGATGGTGGCCTTGGAGTGCAGGTAAGGCTCTACGAGATGGGCATACTCCTCCTGCAGCAGCGTCAGGGCTCCCGAAGTAGTGATGGAGCAGATCAAAGGACGATATTCCTGCATGTGGATCACGACGGGGATCTTGAGGGCCAGGATGTGCAGGATGTTTCCGATGTAATCTTCTTCGAAGCTGATGTTCCCATGCCTCCTTCCTATGTTGATCGCCTGACATCAGATGAGGGGGGGTGAAAGTGCAGCCACGTCCTCGCTCACAGCAGTGACAAACGTCAGGTCACGGTACCCTTCGTCCCCAAGATCCTTCGTCGCCCCATCGTCCCATCCAGTGCACACGCTCTCTGCAGCAGCATGTCATGCAGCAGCAGTACAAGCGTCTTCCCTCACCTCCCCTCCTGATCTTCCCGGCCAGCGCTCCCAGCAAAGACTCTCCTCTTCGGATCTCGAAACTCACTCGCAGCCGGCCAGACACCTCCAACTCCCTTCCTTGCGAGTCGAGCGCTGCGATGTAAACAACATGCGGGCCATCTTGCAGCCCAAAGATCTTGAAGGAGCCGTCTGTCTGTGATGTCCGGCTGTAGCTCACTCCGTCGACATGTATCACCACCTTGACCTCAACAAGTCAGCGACATCTAGAGCAAGAGCTGTCGACAATCATCACTTGGTCAAAATCTTCAGCATCTTCAGCGCAAACTCTCCAGGAAACGATGAGGTAGGAGGCTGTCCATACGTCTAGTGCTGATGGAGAGATGATCTCTGTCCTGCATGATCCTGGACGGCCTTGCTTCGCCATGGACTGCTCAAGCATTTGCTCCGTCTCCCTTCTCACGCACATGGACTGCAGGCTGAGCGCAAGAAGGAGGAAGCCTCGCACGAGCTGCATGCTCGTATGTTAGGATTGCTGAAGACGTGCAAGGCTCGTCGGCTACTGCCATTCAGCTCGCAGCATGGAGCAACAAATTCCGCAGCTTCGGAGCGAGCATGGCGGGGCAAGGAAAGTCCTGCTCAGTGCAGGTGGCTCTGTGCCGCAGAGGCCCGGCCGGTGCGTCCCGGGCGGCCGCGAGTTTCCGTGCCCGCCTGGGGAAAGTTTGAAGGCGCCATGCTGTCACAGAGGGTTTGACTGGACGGTGGAGGAGGAGGCGCAGAGAGACAGAGAGCAAGAGGACGTCGGGAGAGCATGCAGTAGCAGCACGTCGCGCTAGAGCCAACGAGAGAGGAGCAGACGAGTGAAGTGAGTTCGCGGGAGAGAAGCAAAGTAGAAGCAGTCCCCGACAGGAGAAGACGCAGTGGGGAGTTGGAGGAGAAGGGGAGGATACCCTGGAAGTTAGCGGGGAGGAGACTGAAGGGTGAAGGAGGATGATGAGATTACATCTTTCCATCGTATGCGTGCTGTGCGCACTTGGAATTGGCAGAGCTGCTGCGAACCACCTGCCACTCCTTTCTACCCCTGGCGCCCTGAGGTATTTTTGAGTCTTGACGTGTTTTTGCCTCTACTGCTGCTTCTTCGATGTTGTTGTTCGTGTATGCTGCTGCAGAGCTTCTCTCTCTTCTCTCGCCCCTGCAACTCGCCAGTGACTTCCTCCCAGGATGCCCAAGGGATGCATACGGCTCAGTGGAGGAGGTGCAGCACACTTTGGGATATCGGAGGATGAGAAAGCCAGCCTGTCGCAGCTGAGGGAGAAGCTCGGGGGCACGCTGAAGCAAGCGTGCAAGAGCAACCCTGACTTCCACCATGACGACCGATTGATTCGGTTACTGCGCACTAACCAGGGCGACGTCGATAAGACCGTAGCATTCTTCAAGAGCATGCTCCGATGGAGGAGTGAGCTGGACAGTGATGCTATCAGAGCTCAGGTCGCCAAACACTGGACTGAACGCTTCTGGGACCTCAAGTGCCTTCCGAAGAAAGAAGTGATGAGGAGGTACTATCACTTCGAGCCCAACCACGCGGTCAATCCTGACGGCGACCTGGTGTCGGTGGAATGCACTGGGAAGATTCAGATAAGAAGTTTCATGAAGGAGATCTCAGAGCAAGACATCATGCGATTCTGGTGCTACCTGATGGAGTGGAATATGATAAAGTTGGCTCAGTTGTCCAGGGCTCACGGCAGGGTTGCACGGATGGTACAGATCAAAGACATGGAAGGGCTCAAACTGTTTCAGGCATCTTGCAAGGTTGCAATGAGTCGATTCAGAAAGATAAACAAGATGCTTCACGAGGTCTACCCTGAGACGCTGTCTCAGCTGATTGTGATCAACATCCCGCCGATGTTCAGCCTGATTTGGCGAGTTTTCCACCCCTTCCTACCCCTCCGGACCGTGAGGAAAATGTCAATACACTCAGGGAAGAGCTGGAGTCAGCGCGACATTCTCCTCAAGCACCTGAAAGAAGCTGACTCCATCGTCGTCAACGATGGTGGGGTCCGGGTCTACGCCAAGGCGTGCGAGGTGAACACCAGGCTCCTCTCCTGTCTTTGGTCACTCTGCGTTGGCAGGAGGTAGACGACAACTCGATGACGTCATCTGGTGTGGGGGTGAAGTTTCTCAATCGGGCTGCGTTTGCGGGGGTTGCGGCGCTGCTCCTGAACCTCTGCTTCAGATCAGGTATCGCCCTCATGCCGCGCTGAATCAGCTGATGCTCTCCAGGTGAAAGCCCAAACTCCATCAAGACCATGCTGAGCAACCCCTACCCCAACTTGCGACTGTTCGCACGGAAGAGCAAAGCCCTGCCGTGAGTTGGAAAGGAATTAAATCATCTCATCATGTTCCAATCGGCATTCAAAGATCATTCGAACTCAGGCCAGCTGCCAATATGTCCAACGCTCAAGACTTGCTGACCCTGTTTTATTTACAAATGATTGATTGTTGATCTACAAAAGGTTCCCTCTTCTTCCCTCCGAAGGACTATCACACAATCCCAGCCTTGTCATACTGAGAATCGTCCTGAACACACGGGCTCCACATGTCAGACGAGCAATACTGGCTCGCAGTCGACTTCGCAGATGCCAGGATTTGCTGCGGCGCTCAATCATCTATCGAAATCACACAGGCGCATCCTTACCTTGGTTAGTGGATCTTTCTTGAATTTTGAAACTGCCGCCAACATCTTTGATTCATTGTTATAGAATTCTCCTGTCTGCTACAAAGTACAAGTCAACATATTCATCAGAAACTCGATATCTTTGTCGCTCCGACCTATCATTTCTATTCGTCCTTGTCTTAGTCTCCATTCCCTTCCACAACCCTTTCGAACCTGTTGTCCTCAACCTTCCCGACACCAATTAAAATGCTCTACCCCACGCCCGCCTCCAACATCTTCCTCCTCTGATTTCATAGTCCCAGCCTGCCTCGCCATCCATGTTATCTCCGTTCTTCATCCTTGTCATCAACATCCTCGTAGTCATTGTCATCTTCTTGCAGGTCCTGATTGTCATTCCCCTCACCCCCCCTCATCATTCTCAACCTGGTTTTCGTCCTCGTCATCTTCCTCGTTATCATCCTAGTCCTCGTCCTCGTCCTCGTCCTCGTCCTCCTCGTCCTCCTCCTCCACAACTCTTGTGCTCACCTGTTTCAATCCTCCAAACATTTCCACTTGCCCTTTCGCTGTACCACCCTCCTTGTACCACCCCCCTTGGTTCTGATTACCCCTACATAAACCAGCATATTCTAATGCCACACCCACCCATCCAATCCACTACCCCCTTCATTCGTACAGCTGATGTTCCCTTCAAATCGGTGGGAATGTACCCGGTGGTCTTCGCAATATACCCACCCTCCTTGTTGACAGAGAAAACCACCGGTGCTGCGGTAACGGTTCTGAAAGTTTCCATGCGGTAAAATCCTGCTTACCCAGCGACTTTGCCCTTACCGCCTCCCTCCCTGCCTCCCTCCTCCCCTCCCTCCTCCCCTCCCTCCTCCCCTCCCTCCCTCCTTCCCTCGCTCCTTCCCTCCC